ACTCATTAGACGAGTAACTTACATGTTGCTGTCTTACATTGACTACACGCATGATACGTAAGCAGTATGAATGACAGATTTAACTGTAAGAATATTTTCGCTGAATTATGTCACTTGCCCTGCCTTCCACACAGTTTGCAGAGTTCTGTCATAACAGACATACTTGCTAAAGTAGCATTATCTGGACAGGATGGCAACTAGCAGCTCCATCAAGACCTTCCTCAACCTTTTAGCAGAAAGCCCTGGTAAGTCCAGTAAAGGCACATGGCTTTGGAGTCAGTCAAGGAGCTAATTAGAGGCATCTCAGTCTGTTTCAGTGTAATGCCATAAAAAGTGTGTGCTATCTAGAAAGCAGAACATCTGGCAAACAGGCTAATGAGAGCCAGACTGGGGGAGCTCTGAGGCAAATGTAAGAGCTACCCTGTAGAGTTTGCTTATAACTCTTTGTAGGAGGTTACTAGTTTGTTGGATTTTTTAAATTATTATTATTTATTGAAACAAATGCAGACACCAACGTCCAATGAAAGTCCAAATTCACTTCAGTTTGACATAAAATAGCCTGGCTGGGAAGGGTGATTTCTCCCTGGTTCTTGTGAATGTTTTATGTCCCTTATTCCCCTCTCGGCCCTGCCCTCGAGATCCCCCGTGGCCACGTGAGCTCCTCCGAATGAGAGGAGTTTGTTTGCTCTCTCAGCCAATGGAGAGTTTTTCCTTCCCCGAAGGAGGGAGTTTGTTTTGCAAAGGGAGAGGTTTGGGCTCAGGAAAGTTTATTCTCCTTCTCTTTCTTTCTTTTTTGTTTTTTTTTGTTTTTTATTGTAATGATGACATATGGAAACTATTTACACAGGAGCATGCTCTGCTGCACTGAATGGAAATGTTGGAGTCCCGGCAGTATCGTTCCGGATGCCTTGTGTAAGCAGCCAGCTGGTTTTGCTTTTTCTTTTTTTCTCTTTTCTTTTTTTTCCCCTCCCTCTCTCCCTTTTCAGGGAACGTCTGGGATAAGTTACACAAGTGTGGAAGGAAGCTTTGCCATCTGTGAACAGCTCAGTTCGTTTACTTTGTCATGACCCTTGTACCATGAACTTCACAAATATCTATTTTCTTTTTTTGCTGGGGGGGGGAAGACTCCTTGCTGTGACTAGTCAGCACTTTGACTCCTTTCCCATTAGTTGTTCATGTTCACTGGTGAGCAAATTCTGCTATATGCCAAAGTAAGAGAGCATGGCACATGAAGCCTTGCTTTACCACTATGCTCATGCTTAAAAGCTCTTTGTCCCGCAGCTAAGCCTCCCAACAGCTTGCACTTAGAAACATCCTGCCGCTAAGACAGTGATAGGGAAGCAATTTAACTGAAGTCTGAGCCACCTTCCTCAGAGGGGAGGCGAGAAAATGTTTAGTTCTGCAGAGAGCAGAGGAAAATCTTTTGTGCGTAGCTTTCCCTTGAGGAAGCTGCGAAATTGAGGATCGGCTTTTGGAGGGGAGGGAGGGAGGAACTTCAGGTCTGACTTGTCTCCCTCTCCCCAACTCTGAACACAAGCATGCCCGCTTCCCGACACGGCGGCTGCCATGCGGTGGAGAGAGCCGCCTGCCATCTACTTTGAGGATTACGGGAGTCCTGTGGAGACATCCTCCTATCTCATTGAGCTCGATACTAATGGTAAATGCCGTCGGGGATGTTCTGCAGCACGAGCTGAGCGGAGCGGAGGTTGCATTAGTCTGTGTCATTGTTATCTTGGGAGCAGCTGAGGAAATTAGCTAGCTGGAGGGCTGCCAAACAAACAGTCAGAGGGTTGCTTTTCAAATTTATTATTACTTTTATTATTATTTATTACCCAGATGATGCTGTTGCCTCAGGGATGCTAGATCAACCTTCTGGTACCTGATGGGGAAGGAGCTGATCCACAAAATGCAGTTCCCCGCTGGAACCCTTCACCAGTACATTTTCTGTTGTCTGTGCCTGGAAAGATGATGTCTGGTTTAGACAGGAAGAAAACATCTTGGTTTCTAGGGTTGATTTTTGTTTCTCATTTGCATCTTTGAGTGCTGTTTTGTATTCACAACCTTGATCTCACTGGGACATCTCTTCTGTTTCAGCTGCGAGTCCTCTGTGTGAAATGCAGAGAGGGGTCCTGGGTTTTTACTGTGGTGTATCTTTTCCTAGTGTTGATCCTTTTCAAAGAGAGGTTGGTCTTTGCGAAAGAACAACTTCAGAGTTAAAGGTAGTTTTGGCATCTTTTGGTAGGGTACAGTGTTTTGGTGTTTTGTTTATTGCTACAAACCTTTGCTGATTTGACCACAGTATGTTTTGATCTTAAATTTTGTATATACTGTAATGCTTCAGTAACATGGCAATATTGTAAGCAAACTACTTAATAAGTCCCTCTTCCCCAAAAGAGCTAGTGCAGCCAAGGTGTTGATTCTGTGCTTTTTCGATATCCCCTGAACTGTGTGAGATGAATCACACTCAGATTTTCTCTGAACACTTGCTGTGTTTTGAAGGTGAGTTAAGGAAAGGCCTGAAACTCCGGCTCCTGTTTGTGCCTTCACAGTTGTTGCTGGTTTGAGCAAGGCATCCTGCAGCCTCGCCCCAGCCAGGTAATGAAGGAGCTGTGGTGACGTGCTGCAGAGCTGTCCAGGTGACATTGTGGATGGCACATATGGCTCTGGGTGTCCTTGGACAGCAGGTTATGTGGAAGAGGTGGCACTCTCTGCTCCAATAGACCAGGCGCTTGTGCGCCTCAGGAAAGTTTGGGGGTGTTTGACAGCTCTGCGCCTGACTATGGTAACGCTTGAGGTCTTTGAGGCTGGGGGCTGGGGGCCACTTCGTGCTCTCCCTCTACTGTGACCCAGCTTAGTGCCCCATGGAGGGGAAGGCAGGCAGGACGGGGTTGCACTGTGTTTTGTCTGGCAGCAAACGATCTGTTAGGATGGGAATGAGGATTGGAGAATACCTGTCTTCTGGGCAGTAAAAATCTTCAGTGGTGAGTCCAGGTCTGATGAAGAAGTGCTCCTTCTGCAATTCTGTTAAGTATTAAATTGCTATCAGGCTGCAGGCTGAGGGAGTCTGTCTCTTTGAAACACATATACAGTAAAAGCTTCATAAATAATAACATTTAAGAACTTTTTAGAGCTCGCAATGTAAAGCTTCTGATTTTTGCATATTGCTGTCATCTTTTAGTTAAAAGGCAAGCAAACCCAGAAGACTGCCATTCCAGTTCTGTGGATAAATAAAATCCCTATCATTCAGTTTTTTCAAGAACTGTGCTCATTCAAGGTGTAAAAGGGGTATGGGGGAGGAATCAGCCTCATTCAAACATTCATCCAGATTTTGAGTGGTATTTTAAGGGTATGGGGGAAGCAAGGAAGAGAAGTAGGCTTAAATGCTGCAGCATTCTCAGCAATCTGAGTATGCAATCTGGAAAGTCTTCACAAATCCCAGATAAATGTTATCTTAATTTGATTTGAGGGTGGAAAAGGCAGCTGTGGCTCTGCATTAGTGAAGGGGTTTCTGCCTCTGTCAGGAGCACGCAGTGCCATTTCTCTCGATGGGTGCAGTTTTTGCCATGGACTCTCCCCCCTACTCCTGAGGGTGTTCTAGAAAGACTGAATCAGTAATTCAGTGAGGATTATTTTGTCATAGCGAAGAGATGCAGCAAATCTTCCGCATGCTGTCATGAGAGAGGAAAAGAACCTCATTGTAATTTTTTCCCACTCTCAGATAACTTCTTGTAAGACAGAAAAAACAAGCTACCGCATCACAGCTTCTGTGCTCATAACAAGGAGGAAATAATCACTTTTGCACTGGCAAGATCAATTTTACATGTACCCTCTTTGGGAACATGAGGCACTGGAGGAGGGAAGTCTCTACTGAGAGCAAGAAGAGCCATGCGGTTTGGGTAATGATTGAAGCTCTGGAGAAGCTCTGAGTGCGTGGACAGCTCCACCACAGGTTTCATGCGTGGCCCTAAGCAGGTCTCGCTTCCGTGGGATCTCTGCTCAGTATTCTTTGTCAAAGGTGCAAAATAAAAATCCCAGTCCCAGAAGAAGAAACCAAGTGACAGTCCCTTTTTGAACAATAATTGTCTTCCTGCATGTTTTTCATGTGTTTTATTACTACTGAAGCTGTAGAATGCAAAAAACGGCAAGTATTCTGGAGTTTATATACATGCCCTGCGTAGCTCTCCCATGGGAATGCCACTATGTATGTGTAGCTATGCTTGGGAGTTGCTTTTGGCAATAGAATTGTATTTTTTTAATGAAATTTTTAGTTATGAAATCTGGTACAAATGTTCATTGTTTTATAGTGCTTTCCTGATGAGACAGACATGCTTTTAGAAGTTTCAAAATCAATCTGTGGGATATGAACAGAAAATTAATCTTGCTGTTTGTTTTCATCAGAGGAGTATTGGTACTTACCTGCACCAAAAAGAGTGTTGCAAAGATGCATTGTTTAATGACTCCGTAGAGTTCTGAAAAATGAGGCTTCTGCTAAAAATACTGACTACTGCTATTAGTTTACTATACAGCTTCTATACTGAGACTGGTTTCCATTGCCTGTGGTAGTCCTGTACTCCATTCTTCCGCAGTCTCTCCTACCATTAAATGCGAGCCCGCTTTTATTTTGTGGGTTGGATATCCTCAGAGACTTCTAGCTGTTAGCTGCCTGTTTATAGTTTATGACTGCTGGTAGTATGCTACAAACATGACAGCGCAGATCTCCTGAGCCAGGAGTCCTGCTTATTGTATTAAATAGGATGCTGTCTCTTTTGATGATCTTCTGGGAGCATTCCCGTGTTGAAGTGCTGAGTTTGAGTGTGTCTCTTAAAAGCTCCTACATGGGAAGAGTCAATTTGTCTGTGTACAAGCTGCCAGTTTCTTGGGTACTCTGCCACCTCTTGATGCTTGTCTCTGGTCCCAGTGCCTGGCTTTTTTGCATGCCTCCTGATCAATCTCAGCTTGCTTAATTGTAAATCAATTTTTCTCTTATTGTACTGATGCAGATGGAGGTAGCTATGACGTTATTAATGATGCATCCAGCCCTGCTGCGGGGGATTGCTGTGCACAGCAAAGCTCTGCCCGACACAACTGGGAAATGAACTACCAAGAGGCAGCAATCTACCTCCAGGTGAGCCCTGCTGTTTGGTGTATTGTGTGAGAAATGGACTTCTGAAACTATGGTAGTTCTCGATTATAAGAAACAAAGAGCTTCAGTTTTGAGGATAAAAAATTGGTGCCTTGCAAAGGAATCTGCTCGAAGAGGGGAGATGCTAGAAGTGCCTCCGGATGGGCTCTAGCAAGTCATTTGGGAGCAACTGAACAAGCCACCCATCCTCTCCCCTCTCTCCCAGTGCCAAGGACTGTAGTAGTTGAGGGATTCAGCACATGTTCAGTTCTCCCACCTTAGCATGGACATTTCTGTAATTTGTCATAGATCGTCATTTTATCTCTTCAGTCGCTCCGGGGTGAATAGTCAGTGCCCTCCTGGAGACATCTCATGTTCTGGAACTGCAGGTCCTAATCCTGCCTTGGCCACAGATTTGGTGGACCTGGGATGTTTAGCATCAGTCAAGCCCTGCAGGTCACGTAAGACACGAGAGAAGATAGAGGTCTTGATTTCTACAGGAAGAAAGCATGCTGAGATTAGGATCAGCCCAGGAGTGAAATTTATCCTATTTAAAAAGAAAAAACAAATAAACAAACAAACCCCACCCATGCTCCAGTTACAGGAAACACCGTCGTTACTTCAACAGAGGTATAATATTTTTAAGATTGCCGTACAGTCTGTTGTGATGAATTAGGTACCAAAACTGAGCTTCTCCCAGAGCTGGCCATTCTGAAATTGTTGCTGGCTCCCTTACTGTCCTTCCATCCTCCTTCTCTTCGTTCCCTTTCAAAAGCTCTGCATTGCAGCTTGAAATGCTTTGGACCCAGTTAGGCTTTTTGCTTAAGTCACTGCAAGGTGATTGAAACGATTTGTTCCTCCCTGCTCCTACCCCACAGGACTGAGAAGTATTGCTTCTCTGACATTTTAAAACCGGGTAGGCTTGGATCTTGGTAATACTTCAGCTTCGTCATATGCTAGAGCAGCACTGACAATATAATGGTAGCTCCAGCCCCTCCCGGGCTTTTGTTTAAACTCATGATTATTGGAGATGCTCTGCAAAGGGTCATTGAGTGCTGCAGTATCTGATGGTAATGTACACAGCAGGCTTGGCCCTTCAGATGCAGATTATTCTTGCTGCTGCCTTGACCAACGGTCGTAATGACAATGTCCTTGAAATGAAGTAGACATAACTTAAAGAGCATGCAGATTGTTTATTTGAATAAGTAGCTGCAGGCAAGAGTGTCTTATCTGAATAAGAGGGCTTTGCTGTCCAGCAACGTTTTGAATTGCTTGGCTACCAAGAGGCAGAATTTAGACTATTTTTCATTCTGCAAGTGTGTTTTGTCAGGCGTGAATAAGAATGCCCTGCTGATCTAAGCTAGCGCGCTCTTTGAGTGGGGGAGCTTGTGTTTTATGGAGCTGGCTGCTGGGTTTTGCTCACAATCTGGCTCGCTGACCTGGCAGTGTGTGTGTGTTTGTTCTTAAACAGAAAGTGAGCTTGCCTGTGAGATGAGTAAATAAGAAACATTTGAAACCCTCTTCTGAATTAGTCTCGAGAATGCTTCACTTCTTAAAGGAGATCCTGTTTCCTGACCTTGTTATCCATTTGCAATCACAGTTATTCTGCTTCGATAGTAATAGCTTACTGTCCTTACAGTAATTGCTTACCTGGAAAGATGTTAATTTAAAAAAAACCACACCAACAAACAACTTCTCGTGTATCTGAGTGTCCCAGCTAAGGAAAAATGATCTCTTATGACAGTGTCCAAGAGGCAGCAAATTTCCTGTGAGTGACTAAAGCTCCTTTGCTTAAACCATTGACTCAAGAAAGAGAAGAAGCTGTTGGATGGTTCTGCGTGAAAAACCTCTAAATTCTCCCCAAACTAAGTTTTGTCCTAGAGGTAAAAATAGTAATGATGTAGCTGTTTAAAAACCAGTTGTAGGCAAACTGTTAAGATGGAGTATCTGACCTTTTAATGTTAATTAAGCTTTCTAGTTAAGAGGGAATGACAAATCAGCATAGAGACATGTTAATTTTTTATGGAGTCTGTCTTCTCACATTTCTGAAGCAGAAAACACTGCGTGTGCTCTAGTGTTTTCTCCCAGACATTTTGCAAGGCCAAGATAAGGAGGAGTAACTGTCAGCCAGGTGCCCTGGAGCTTATCTGTGTGTTTTTGTGTTCTGTCCTGCAGAAATTTAATCAAAGAAGTCTGTAAACATGTGGAAGTGGTTGCAAATAAATGAAGTTCTGTGTTTGTGTTGGGATGTTGACTAAAGTTTCTTTGCCTACTTTTATAAACTCTTTCAGTACTCTTCCTCATTTTGAAAAGGCTCAAGGGTTTCTGAAGCAGGAGTTTGTGGATATTAATGAGTTTCATTACTGAAATATGCTTATGAACAGAAGGGGATGTCCCATGTGTGTAGAGTTCATTCCTCAATAAACAGATCAATGTCAGGCTGTGAAGTGGGAATAGTCTGTTGGGAATTGTAGCTAATCCTTACAAAAGTCTGCATTCTTCATGTGGAAAGCTCTGTTATAGTACTGAGAGTCACTAATGCTGTTCTCTTCTTTACTCCTGCTGCCTTAGGAAGGAGAAAATAATGATAAATTCTTCACTCACCCCAAAAATGCCAAAGCACTTGCTGCCTACCTCTTTGCACACAATCACCTTTTCTACCTAATGGAGCTGAGCACAGCACTGCTTCTCCTGTTGCTATCTCTCTGCGAGGCACCAGCTGTTCCTATGCTCCGTCTTGGCATCTTTGTAAGTACTTTGGGGCAAAATGAAGAAGTCTGCCTGTTTTGCATGGGTGGGTAAGAGGAAAAAGAAGGCTAAATGTAGAGGAAGAAGGTAGCAATAGTAGGAAAACACCACCTGGCTTGTTCTGTAAATTGGTTGACAGCAGAAATGTCAACCAGCAAAACATCCTTTTTTCATTTGATTTGCATAGACCACAAGGAAAGTGACACTTATTTCATATTGTCACTTTCTGCAGTTCTTAAATTTTGTAACTATTAGAGAAGTGTTTGGTTTTTGCTTCTTTTTCAGGTAACTCAAGAGTCTGTGCGCTGATGGGGTGGTTTTAAAGTCATTGTCAGGATTGGTGCCATTACCCCAGCACCACCACTGGTGCCTAGAACACAAAACAGATCTCAGCCTGGGGCAGGTTGCTAAACCTTCCCCTGTCCTCTCCTCCCAGTGTTGTGAGGACTCTTTTTAATGTGTGTGTGTGTTTGAGGGACTTAAGTTTTATGTCTAACCTTCACAAAATGCAGGTTGAGAGAAGGGATACACAAACTGGTGTGTACTGTTGTCAGTCCACAACCACTTCATGACGTACCACTGTCAGGCACAGTGCTAGGAGCTCCTGTTGCTGGTGGGAGAATCTACATCTGCTTTTGGAGCTGTTAATGGCACCCTAGGACCATGCCAGGGGTGTAGAAGAGTCGTGACAACCTTGGGGTTAAAGTGTTCCTCAAAATGAGTCAGGACTGCATAACTCAGTTTGGGTTTTGAGCTATGACTAAAGCTGAGGTTGTAAGAGAATGCTGCCATCGTCTTTGTGGTGCATTTTGCATCTTCCAACAGAGAAAGGGTCCATCAGCACTGCCAAAAGCTGCATTCTGTTCCAGAGCTTGATCAGGACCCTGTCTGTGGTTGTCCAGAACATCTATTGCAAGAGAAAACCCTTCTCTATGTAAATTCTCTCTGCCCAGCAGCTTTTCTTCCTGCATTTCACTAAAAAAATTGCAGTCTCAAATTTTTTTAAAAGGTTTTTGCTCAAGCTGCTGGTGTCTTGCCCTTTTGTTTCAAATGTATCAGTACATTTTTTGGATGTGTTACTCAAGTCCAAAAGGGATGTGGATTTCCAGGAAATTCTGGGCTGACACTGAATAGAGGAAGATTCTATGGGTGTTAATAAAAGCACAAAGCAATAAATACAGAAACTTTGAAAAACAGATTGCTGTGCTAGCTTTAAGAGTGGACTTGGGGTTTCCTGCATGTCACAGAGCTATGCTCAGACTGTTGTCAAACCCACGTGCTTCTTGAAAAAGGAAGAAATGTGGCCTCTGATGTGCTGCTGTTTGTAATCAGAAGCACTGGTTTAAGCTTTGCTGTATTGTAACAGGTCCATGCAACCCTGGAGCTGTTTGCGTTAATTGTGGTAGTCTTTGAACTCTCGATGAAGATGAGGTGGCTGGGCTTCCAAACTTTTATCAGGCACAAAAGGACTATGGTAAAGGTAAGTTGTCTGTCTGATTGTCAGTGTTTCTCCTTCAGCATCTTCGGGAACCAAAGAACCAGATTAAATATTGGCCTGTACTGTAGCAGGGATGACTTAGCCATGTGTCCCAGCTGCCAAATGATTCATGTGAGATCTCTAAGCTCTCGGAGACACCTCCCATCCTTAAAGTGTCCAAATAAATGGGTCAGTGAGAGTTTTGCCTTTCCCAAAAGGAGACTGCAGCTGTGCCTCTCATTAAACTCCTTTTTTCCAGACTTGCGTGCTGTTTGTACAGTTCATAGAGGCCATCGTGGTGTTGGTGCGCCAAACCTCGCACGTCCGGATAACAAGAGCTCTGCGCTGTATCTTCTTGGTGGACTGCCGTTACTGTGGTGCCGTCAGGAGGTGAGTGGTCAGCTGGCTGGGTTTTCTGCTGTCACGCCTGGGGCTGGGGTGGAGGAAAAGCACTCTGATCCTGTAGGCATCTCAGGAAGATAAATGTCTTTCATGAGCATTTCAGATCTCAGAGATCTTTTGTAATTGCGACTGTTTTGAAATTTCATAGGTAGTAGCTTTGGCTGTGCTCACGGTACACAGTGCTTATGTGTACTGTCCTCAGCTGTATAAACTACCTCAGAGAGCACAACACGTGAACGTGGCTGTATTGTTTCTGGCTCCTAGATTTGCCTGTAAACAACGAATCACAGAGATAGTCTTTAGTGTGGAAAAGGAAAGTTGACAGGGTGACATTAGTATTGTTTGCAGTACCTGAGAGCTGACTGCAAAGGACAGATAGGTAGCCTGGAAATGATCTTAATTTACCTAGCTTTCTACTTTTAATCCTTGGAGGGAGTGGGAAGAAGGTCCTCAAGTATGGTGTGGTGTTGTTTTTTTTTTCCCTGCCAACCCGGAGGAGAAACCATGCAAGTTTTAGTTTACTAATGTTTTCTTATTTTTCAGAAATCTGCGACAGATTTTCCAGTCTCTCCCACCATTTATTGACATTCTTCTCCTCCTGCTTTTCTTTATGGTGATTTTTGCCATCCTGGGTGAGTTGTATTTATGGAAGGTGAAGTGATGCTCTTCACCGGTTATTGTCCAAAAGCAACACAAAGAGCCTGGATGAATATAAAGCTGATCAGATTCAGAGTTCTGTGAGGGTCTTCCATTTATCCCATTTTATGCGCAGTCATCTGGAAGGCAGAATTAAAGATCCAAAAAATCTAGAAGCTGGGTATTTGATTTTGAGATAAAGGTCCTTTTGACCTCTTCCTGAGGGTAGTCTGTGGTGTGTGTGTTTGTGGTTTCCAAGTTCTGTTTCCATCAACTGTTCCTCAATCTTGTAAGTTTAGTCTACATTCCCACAAATGCATGTGTCTGCAGTCTACCTGCTACAGTCCTATACTCAAACTATCCCCAGAAAGTTTGTTTTCCGAAAGGATCGGTGAAATGCCAATGACATGTATTGGCAAATCTGTATGGAAAAGGCCTTCCAGATACTCTCCTCTTCATGGTGTCAGAGAGGGCTTACTCTTAGTGTCACCTTCTCTTCGGGAACAGAGGCTCACCGCTCTGCTGCTTGACATTAAACAGGCTTTATTTTTGTTTGTTCTTTCCCCCTTTCTTCCCTCCTCCTCTACCTTCTCTGCTGCTTCTCTAGGTTTTTACTTGTTTTCTCCTAACCACTCAGATCCGGTGAGTATCACTGATTCTTTCAACTGAAGCTTGAGTCCCATTTTGACATGCTTAAGAATCAAACATTACTGTGTAGACGTAGCTTATTCCTGTGTGGTGGCCTGGGAGGCCAGATGCTAGCTGGTCAGAGGCTGCTTGGCAGTGTTACCCTGGTTTACCCCTTAAGGGCTGGGAAGGAAGATGGTGCAGAGAACTTCCTCAAAGACAGGATGTCCCAAAGGGAACGTTCACGGAGTTGTTCCTTGTTCTTGGTGTCTTAATTCAGTCAAACGAGCCACCTGCCACTGTCCCCAGGGGAGGAAGGTATCTGGGTGAAAACTCGGCCGCCTCAGACTGTGCCTGTCAGAGTCCAGCAGCCCCTAGTTCCTGCTGCTGCCAAGCCTGTAGCTTGCTGGGAGTAACTCCTACAAAAATGTGTAGATGAGCTTTTAATTGTTTTAACTCTTCACATGCCATCTCTCAGGGACCTTTAAAAAGGACCAATGCTGAAGTACACTTTCCTTAGGGGAGGCATCAGGGAATTGTAGAAGTACTTGTATTCAAGTGGGTGGGTGGATTGGTTGTTTGTTTTTTGAATTAAATGTCACTATGAAATTCTGCTTACGTTTTGTCATGGGAGTTTCTTCTTTCAGTACTTCAATACCTTAGAGAACAGCCTCGTGAATCTCTTCGTGCTTTTGACCACTTCAAAGTAAGTTCATGCTTTTCTAGCTCAGTCTTTCCCTTTGTCCCCAAAGAAGTACAGCAGAGCCAAGAGTTTATTTGCAGAAATGCTTTGTCTCCAAATGTGACCCCTTTCCTCTGCATAAGAGAGAGATTTCCTGGGTCAGCCTGCATGGGAAGAACAGGTATTTAATTTTGTTTTAGGACACTGTGACCTCAGATGCAGAGTTGTCTCTAAGTGACTCAGGCCACTTCATCACTGTGAGGGCAATAAGGGGGGAAACAGCTTTATTAGGCCTTGGTCCAAGAAGGGAAAGTTTCTATTTGTACTCCTTTGTCAGCCAACAGTTTGCTGTCGTGAAGTAACTTCCTATTCCTCTGCTTCGGTTCACCTATCTGCTAGGAAAGGGGGATAACAACAGTGAGTAAATATTGATCTGCTGTCGGGGAGAGCTCTGAGGATTAGGAAATTAGCAAAGGATGGAATAAATCTTAGGTTGTATCACTCTACACCAAGGCTGTATTGCTGTCGTTGCCAAGTATCAAAGCACAACCCTTAGCCATGTTACAAATCCCCTTTGCCCATTTGGTTTTCAGGATGTGCAAGGAATGTGCTCTTCATATTTATTTTTTTCATCATGCCTCCATGTTCTTGCGGCTCATTGCTAGGCACAAACATCTGTGTCATGAGCAACCACATGTTTTTCAGCAAAATGCAGATCTTTGGATGTGAGTTTACACACACACACCTTGTCCTGTGCCTCTTGCTTTTGTAGTGGGAAGTGTAGCGTGAGCTATTTGGTGCTTAAACTTGTGCCTTTTTCGGATGCAGTTTCCCTGATGTGATGATGCCATCTTATGCCCGGAACCCCTGGTCCTGTGTCTTCTTCATAGTGTATCTCTCCATTGAGCTGTACTTCATCATGAACTTGGTGAGTCTCTTGTTGAAGCACTTGACTTCTCTCTGCCTGACTTTGGAACTCATTCCCCAGCAGAGTCTTCCCCATTCCCAAGAGTGCTCTGTAGTAATCTGAGACCCTGCAGCAGGATACTTCTAGAAATGGCAGCTTTGCTACACGTAGGAGTCTTTTAATGTTTAACCACAAGGAGTTGAACTAAATCACAGAAAACAGAATGATACGAGTATCTTTTAACTTCTCTCATATTAATATCATGCTTGGAGTGACATACTCAGTGGCATGAAATTTATTGTCCTTTTCTGTCTTAATTATTTATCATAAAATGGCATTTTATTATCTGCGCTTGCCCGAAATACTTTGTAAATCAGTTTGAAGGGGATGAAATTACTAAGTATGGCAGGACCTGAAGAGTGCTGATAACTGCAGTGTGAGAGCATGGCTGCTGTGCTGGCCCTGCTTCTTGCAGCATCTAGGGCAGGGCCAAGACCAGCTCAGGTGAGGATGTGAGCAGTGGAAAAGGGGTTGTCAAAGGAGTTGAGGAATTCTGCAGCCCAAGGTGAGTGATTTGATGCTTGTAGTGGGCTTGGATTTCGCTGCTGCTGTCCTAGATGGAGGGTTAGCTTTGACATGTGTTTGCCAAAGCTCCCGTGGAAGGGTGAGTCCAGAAAGCAGCCCTCAAAACCCACTTTCCGGGAAGAGGTCAGGATCTTTTAACAAACCTTTTGATACTGTTTTCTGTTGGTATGTGTGGGGTTTAGCCTTAGCTCTTAAAACCACTGGCAAGTGTTAGGAGGCCAGAAATATCTGGACCTTTTCCAAAAAGTGGATCAGTGTGTGTGCAGTGTGCTTGGTGATCCTTTTGTGGGATCCCTTATGGCCAACGGGCCTTCGCTGACTCCATTCTGCCTCAGTCAGTGTAGCGCTTAGTAAATTCCACCTGCAGGCAGTGCCTCTCCTTGCCTCTGGATGTTCCTGCCTGTTTGAGAAGCACCGGCTCAGGTAGCCCCAGAGTATAAGGATCTCTCCTGTCTTCTCTCTGCAGCTTCTTGCTGTTGTGTTCGACACTTTCAATGACATCGAGAAGAGGAAGTTTAAGTCCTTGCTGCTGCACAAGCGCACGGCCATACAACATGCCTACCGCTTGCTGATCACCAAACAGGTATCTGCAGGGAGGCTAAGAACAGCCTGGGGTGTGGCAGGAGGGGAGGTCAGCAATGTTTCAAGAACACCAGTGGTCTGGAGTATTTAAAGAGTATGTTCCAGAAAAGATGATTTTTGTCTGTTGACTGTAATCATACTCACCAAGGACTGCTGTTTTTTCATTTGTGTAACTTGTTTATATCTCTTTCTGGAGAAAAAACCAAGTAGTCTGAATTTCAGCCCCATGTGAGGTTATGGAAGTGTCTTGATAAAATGAATGAAGTTTGTTCTGGAGAGCATGCAATCATTGATTTCTCTCTGATTCAGTGTGGGTCACTTGAGGGCTTGCCTCTCAAGCACCAGTACTTAGAGGAGGGGTGGGTTATACATGTGAAGGTACAGTACAATTGCTAGATACTGCATGAGTAAATGGTGCAGAAACAGAAGTAGTTCACCTACAAACAACTCTTTACGTGGACAGAGCACTGGAGGAGAGGGTTGATTTCTTGCTTAACTTGTGGAGCAGGAAGAGAAATAAGGCCCAAAAATAACTAACCCATTTCTAGTAGATTAGTTCATGTTTAGGGCACATTCATTATATGAACAGTTCCTGAGGAATAGCCGATAGTCTTTAAAAAGTGCCAGTAATGGAATCTGTTAGGCTGTCTACTAATTTCCCAGGAAGAGTGGTTGAACTCTGTCGCTTGGGGTGTCTGGTTGGACAATTTTCACATGATAGGGCAACGGGGATCAGCTCTGCATTTGCTGGAGGGACCGACTGCCAGGAGGGCTTCCTGATCTCTGTGCTCTGGGATAAGCTCAGTACGTTAAAGTAATAGCTTAGGGTACTTCTGGGGCTTAGTTATAATGGCATCTTACGATAATGTAGAAATCCTGCTTAAAACAAATCCAGAGTGAGAATTAAATACGCTAGCCTCTATGTGCTTCTGCCTGATGTCGCTGCTTATGACAACATTCCCTTGTTTCTAGAGGCCGTCTGGAATTTCCTTCAAGCACTTTGAAGGGCTGTTGCGGTTTTACAAGCCTCGGATGTGTGCCAGAGAGCGATATCTCACTTTCAAAGCACTGAATCAAAGCAATACTCCTTTAGTCAGGTAGGATGGTCTTACTGCTGCACCCAGAGCAGGGAGGTTGCTTTACTCTCTGAAGCTAGGCCATACTTCAGAGAGGATGGCTGGGTTTATGGAAGGAAACTTGTCCGGGATGTGGGAATAGAGTTATATGATTGAAAGGATTTGGCTGGGAAGCAGGGAGCTTGGAGGGGTGGGTACCCTGAGAGTTGAGGTTTTTCTACGGAGGTGATGGAGTTCCTGCGTGCCCTCTTGTGGATACAGTGCTCTGCTGGCAGTCACCAGGCAGCCTCTGTTTCCCACCTCCCCTGCCAGAACAGAGGAGCGAGAAATTGAGGAACAGCATTAGAGCCTGCAAGGAGCATTTCTTCACACAGTGCAGCCTCGCAGCTTAAGAAGTTTTTGTTTTTTTCCAGCAGCTGGCTGTGTCCCCCAGGGTTTTGTTAATTAAAATCTGGTTCTGCTGGTGCTTTCAGGACTGTCATCCTCTGTGTTATGAGGCAGAGAATTACCATTCTGGTGGGTGGGTGCAGCTAACTCCAGCCAGCATGGAAGTAGAGGGAATTAGAGCAGGAGACCTTCTCTTCCTTTTCCTTTGTTCTGGCCACAGACAGACTTGGAGTGAGTCTCCCATGAAACTGGTGCCGATGCTTCTCCTTAAAGTCAAGTGCCACAGAGAAGTGTTGAAAATGGCATGGGCAGAAAGGCTGAGTTCTTAAATTTAGGCACCTAATGACGCTAGGAAGAGTCTGAGAAGTTCAGCAGCCTCACTTTCAAACACCTAAAAGCTGTTATAGGCCTGACCCTGAGCACCTAGACACTCATGTTTTATGAGTTTCTTTGCTTTCATGTCCTTTTTCAAATTTCATTGTTACCTTGAAAAGAAAATGTGCAAAGACGTTAGAAAAAGACTGTACGAGTAATTAAGTCCAAGACTTCGTAGTAAATCTCTATCCCTTGGAGTTTGCTATCTAAGCCTCAGGTCTTTCCTCCCAGTGGTAAAATTCTGGAGTTCAGTAGACTCAGTTTCCTCTAAGGGCTGTAGCGTTACAGAAAGAAGGTAGGTTTTGCATCCTGTTCTGGCTATTGTCAATCAGTAACCTTTGGTCAGATGGGGAGGAGGTCAGTGTTGAGTTATATCAGCTGTGGTTGCAGTTCTAATAAGGAGTTAATAACTTCCAGGGACTCTCTACTGTTGATGCGTGTCAGGGACAATTAAGGATCTAATCAAATCCAAGGCTCTGATCAGATGCTTCTTTCTGTTTTGCAGTCTAAAGGATTTTTACAATTTCTATGAAGTTGTTGGCTTAAAATGGAAGGTAAGTATTTATTGGGTGGAGAAGAGGGGAAGTGTGTGGGGGAGGGAGAGCAAAGGAGGCCAGTGATTAAAGAGAAGGTCGGTGAGACACAAAGGCAATCTAAAAGAAGCAGATGATGGCGATAAGGTGGGTCTCCATCACTGCACATTTTTTATATGGATGTAGCATTGACTTCTGATCATGGTTGTTCTGCTTCCAGGCAAAACGAAATCGCGAGCACTGGTTTGATGACCTTCCACGGACAGCATTCCTTATTTTTAAAGGTAACAGGCTGTGTTTTCATGACAGCATGTGTTTAACTAGCAGGAAAAGCATTTCTTTACAAAGACCTCTGAAGGGACCTTCTCTTATGTCCCTGGTAAACAGCTGAGGGAAGGCCTAGTAACCAATGCTCTGTGCATTCAGAGCCTCCAAGGCCAGAACCGTGTATTCAGAGTCTCCAAGGAAGATTTCTGTCATGTAAATATTCCCTGTGCTCTGACCCAAATCTCAGCTTCCTTAAAATAAGACACCTCCTGGCAGAAGCTCTGTAGCGACCCGGACCCTGAGGTCACGGAGAGCTGTATTCCTTTTTCAGCACAGAAGTTAGGTGGGGGTTTATGATTGCTGAATCTAGTAGAGTTTATAGAGTTTCTCCATGTCCCAGTCACAGCAGTGACTGTTGAATGGGATTTGTGTTTTCACAAAAGCTGCTAGGCTTCCTAGTCCCAAGATGTGGTTGCAGCGCTCGTACAGGTCAAGTGCAGCTGCGCGGGAAGGGGAAAGAGGTCTGAAATAACCATCAGTGTAATCTGTCTTGCAAATGTGATTTATCTCCCATGTCCCAAGTTTCCTGACTGAATGTAGCCATTCAGAAATAAGAACTTAATCTGCAATTTTTTTTCAGTGTTGTATGCTAGTGGGAAGCAGTTAACGCCATCTTGATCCAAACACACAGCTGCCATAGGAGTCCTACATATCTCTGCTGATGCACTTAACCCTCCTTGACAGCGTATGTGTTGTTCCAAACATGGGCAGTGCTTCAGCAGCTGCATTTACCTCTGTCCACACCACAAAACTAGTACATAGAGGAAAATAAAGGCCTTGGGGGTTAAGGATAGAGAGTTCATGGCTGCTAAAATTCTAGAGGAAATTTGAACTTGGTCCCAAGAAGTAAAAGTTAATAATCTGCTAATCTGTTTAGTTTCTGTGCTGAGGATTGGTATGAAAAATGTCTCTAAGGAGAAGATAGAGGAAGCTGCGTGTGAGGTATGGAGGATCGCGTAAACATTTGTTTTGTCATACTTTTCTTCACGCAGGCATCAACATCCTTGTGAAGTCCCGCGTGTTCCAATACACCATGTGTAAGTAGAAGTAACGAGCTGTCTCTCTGCTAGGCTCCCTTCATCGTGTGGAATCTGGGATGCTTTGTCTGTGCCAGCCCCTCCAAGGACTCAGCGTGGTGGGGCCTGGTCTTTGGTTTGAGCCATGGCTTGTGTGCAAATTCTGGAGTTTTGATGGAGAGGGAGGGAGCTGCATGCTCGTACTAACCACTGCTGCAGCCTGGGCTCTCAGCTGTCGCTGTGTTGAGTCCTCTGGAGAGGCTTGTTGGTTCACTGCTTCATAACGCACTTGTGTGTCTGATTCTGTAGGAGTCAGCTTGCTGCATTTGGGTAGGTTGGCGGTTAGCTTTCACAAGCCTTGAGGTTTTTATCTTGCAGCTGAAGGATGCTGGGTAAGGAACTGCCTGCCAGTCAACCACCTTTTTCTGTGTGCACTTGAGAAGGTGCAAGCGTCCTCGTTGCCGGAGGGATTGCTTGGTAACTGCACTGCCTGCAAGAATGATTCTGTGCTCCTCTTCTCTAGAGGAGGAAGAGTGCTTACTTGTGGTGCTACTCGCTAAATGATCTGTTCCTACTCAGTAATTTGGGGGTTTTTTGAATGTTGAAGGAGATGTTTTTTGTAAATTAGGATGCTAAACTAAAGAGGGTGGGGTGGGGTGAGGAGACCTGAGTGAAAAGGAGAAGTCCTGCACCTTCAGTTCTCAGGATTTGAATATTGGGGAGCAGCAACAGATCCAAGCTGACAGGGCTTTGCCCTGCACTGTTGGGGACTCTTCCTTTGTACTGCGCTGCTGGGGAGATCTAGTGGTTCTCGAGACCTCATTCCAGAACTAGGAGGAAGCTGAAATAGGCAGGTATTAACATGGCAGAATGTAAGATCATTATGAGTAAAAATGATTGAGCATGATTCAGACCATTGTTTTGTTTTAGTGTTTTGTTTTAGTTTTGTTTCCTTCTGCAGATAAAGGTACTGCATCTGTTAAAGGCCTGGGAAAAGTCAGGGTAGAAGTTTTGCAACTCTCTCAAGTTATGAGTTCAATTTGTTAGTTGAATTGGAAACACTGACCCTGCTGCTTGTCCTATATTGTACTCTTTTTGTTAGCCTACAAAATGGATGTCCACTGGTCCAGTATTGTTTTTGCTATGGGTTTTTACTTTGTTTTCCAGATACGGTGGTGGCTGTGAATGGAATTTGGATTCTTGTTGAAACATTCATGCTGCAAGGTAGGAAACAACGCAGCTTGTTTCTTGACTATGATGCTGGGGGATTGAATAAAGGGAAGGCTAAAAAAAGTTCTTCTTGTGTCTTGCAGGAGGGAATTTCTTCTCCAGAAACGTCCCATGGAGCTACATAGTCTTCCTCACAAGTAAGCTGATGCCTCCCAACAGAGCTGTGTCATTTCATAAGGTGGGGAATAGACAGCTCTGTTCCCAGAAGATTATTCAGTTTTAAGTTAAAACTTAGCCACAGGTGTACAGACTCCATCTAGAATAATGCTGTGCCTGGCAGGGATCGTCAGCATCCACACAGACCCACGTGGACGCTGCTGCATTGTTACGCAGCTCCCTGCGCCACTGCAGTCTGGGGAGCCTCTTACTTCTGGTGCAACTCCCTGCAAAAGCTACTGTATTACTCTTAAAGCTTGCTTCAGCCCTGAGAGCAGAATAGCCTTGTTTTGTAGGCACAGCGTGCAAAGTGATAAGCTCCTCCAGACTTGTGATGGCTCTGTGTGGAGTTGCTCACGCTGCTCTGTGCTGCACTGACTGTTTCAGGAGGCATTACCAGCTCTGATCTGACTGCAGCTGTGAGCTGGCTCTCTGCCACGCAAAGCAAGGCAGTCCTGTTGGAGTACAGAGTGCAGGGGCACGCTGAGGAGAAGTCTGAAAGGACTAGATGAACTGGTTGACGAGCTGAGTTTTCTAATTGAACATCATCCCCTCCATAAATGTGTACCTTAGTCTTCCTTTTCAGCCCAAGTATAAGCAATTGCAACTTCATGTGCTGGTTCATTGCACTGCCGTGGAACTCTTCAGGGGCGTGAATTCACTTCCCTTCTCCTGCCAGTGTCTCTTGCTCAAGCGGAGAAGAAAAGTATAGCTCCGATGAATCAAAATAGTGTGTAAAACTGCAGCAGAAGGTTCTCTGGAGAATCTAGGAGAGGTTGCTAACTTCTTACTTAACTGCTGGGTAGCTCTAGTGCTTCCCTGGCCATTAGTCTTCCAAACACTTGTTACGAAAGTTTGAAGGCAGAGGCACTTTGCAACACTCCTTTTCACAAGGATGTTGTCATCCAGCTCTTCACTTCTCTCCCACTTGGAACCTGGAAAGAAAGACTTTGGGATGACTGAAACAGGCCATCATCATGTGATTGTGGCATTCTTTAACCTACAGGCTCACAAGGTGCTGCCAGGACAGGGGGTGAAGTATTCAGATGGCTCCTCTTTGAAAGGATCTCTCTCTGCAGGTCGATTCCCTACTCCACTTTCTGGCCTTTGCTACAGGAGCTTGTGCCTCAACATTTATAGCGTGTTAGCCAAGTAACTGCTTTGTAGACTGCTCTGGAGAGAAACCACCATGAATACGGGAATATGTATTGATTTGGAGGGAAAATGTCTCTTTGGCATCTCACCGAGAGTAAGGAGGATGGGTGGGAGTCTGTTAAACCTATGTTCAGCAGTCCTGTACTTAAAGCGCCACACATCTTTGAGGGCAAGCCTTTGTATGAGCCCTCCACGTGATGCTGCTTATTTCTGTCCATGGCTGTTGTCTTGTTTTCCAGTCTATGGCGTGGAGCTGCTCCTGAAGACCACTGGACTGGGGCCTGTCGAGTACCTGTCCTCGGGTTGGAATCTGTAAGTGCACACTGACGTTTTGAGGGAGCGATGGCAAAAATTGTTGGGTTAGAAAGACTGATTTCTGAGATGAGTTTTTAAGTCTGTAGACCTGATCAGCAGGCTATTACAATCCTTCTGCCCTTGGCCTTGTGCATCTTGTTAGGCTGGAGCAGCACTAAGTACCTCCTCTCTGCTGAAACATTAGTGATAAATCATTGCTCTTATTTTATGGTTTTTTTTTTTCTTTCTAGCTTTGACTTCTCGGTCACGCTGTTTGCATTTTTGGGGCTCATGGCACTGGCGTTTAACATGGAGCCATTCTACTTCATTGTGGTCTTGCGACCCCTTCAGCTGCTGAGGTGAGACGGGAAGGCTGGGCGAGGAGCACAGAGAGCAGGTGGGGAAGAAAACAGCCAGGCTTGTTTTGCATCAGTCCAGTTGGGGACCGAGCTCCTTACCAGGAGAGGGCGAGGATTGCTCTGTGGGTACGTGACCATGGCAAACAGGAATTGCGTGGGGTAATGAGATTAGCCAGAGGTATCAAAATGAACGATAACAAAAACTTGGGATGGGATATGAAACCCCGTGCTTTGGAGCTTAAGCTGATCTCTAATAGAGATCAAGGGATTTACCGGGGGCAGATTATCCTGTGTCTGCCTTCGTGGGGTTCTTACACCTCCTCTAAATTGTCTGATGCTGTTCAGAGAAAAGCTCTTCTGTCAGGGTGAGACAGTTTGAGCCAGTTTAATAATTTCCATTGAATTACCAGAAATTACAGTTTTCAAAGGATGCTGCTTTCTAGGGTGAAGTACAACCCTGCTCTAACTGCGTCTCACACTTTAAGCAAGACTGCAGCCTGTAGCCTCTCTGCAGCTCAGTAAGATGGGTCTGATTAACCCTCTCATTTCGAGGCTGTTACGGAGGTACATTCACCTTCGCAGAACACTTTGAGAACCATAGGTGGAAGGCATTTCAGAGGCAAAATGTTGTTTCGTTAAAACAAACTAAAGTAATTTAGCTCTTCAGTGAGGATTTAAAGAACACTTTATGACACTCACGGGGGAAAAAAAATAATGTTTTCTCTGTTGCTCCCCTGCCAAAGCCTGTGTTTGGCAGCTGTGTTTCTCTGTAAAGGCTGATGGAGTTGCCAAATCTTAAATTAGCAGACACAATGTAGTTTTCTTTCATCAATTTTTATTGGGTCATGGGGGAAACACAGAAAAGCTTGTGTCTGAGGAAAGGAGTAATGAATCCTCACCCTGTACACAGGACTAGTTTAAGTTCTTACAATTTTTATTTTTCTAAAAATAGCTATTTATGCATCATGCTGTGTAAAAAGATGTAGACTCTTCCCTGAGATTCCTCAATCCTGTAAACACTTAGTTGAATGTGTCATAAACATTCAGATGGGACAACGCGACATTGTTAGGTGAGTGGAGACCACTTGAGCAAGAGCTTGTGAGTTTGGTGTCAGGAAACCTTACTGTTCATTGACCTGGGAGGTACAGAGAACTGTGATACTCTCTTTAACTATTCCCAACAACACCAGGAAAGTTGCAGTGCGTGGGTAACTACTGGCTTCTCCTTTCAGGCTATTTAAATTGAAGAAACGCTACAGAAATGTCCTGGACACTATGTTTGAGTTATTCCCCCGGATGGCCAGGTACTAACTTCTTCTCTTTGAGTGATGCCAGGGAGAGGGGAGTGAAGGTTTAGTGTCTAGGGCTGGGGACAGGATAGGGACCTGTCAAACCTGCTAACCGTGTTTATGCTCTGATCTGTCAATTGATTGTTACTGATTCTTCAGTGTGCTGCAGTGGAGTGTTAATCTTCCAATTTCTTGGAGCAGTATGCGATAAGAAATGCTCCAGCACCCTAGGCCTCCTCCTGCTTTTGTGTTAGGAGGATAACTAAGAGTCGATGCTTTTTTAATTTTTCTCCCCCATCCCAGCTTTTGGTGAGAGTGGAGGCCCATTTGGGAGGAGCATTGGCATGGATATACTCAGCCCCAGATGCTTCCCTGTCCTTAGTACAGCCATTCGAGAGCATTATTGTGAAATGGTGGGTCAGAAGGAGCTTGGTTTCTGAGTGGGGCATCCTCAGACCTTCTTCCCTTGAAGGAGGTCTGAGGAGAGCGTGTTAGCTAGAGAACCCTGTTCTTGGCATAGTCCCTGCATCCAAGGACGTGGAGGGGGCAGAACCAGTGTGTGTTGTTTTTTATTAAAGAAACTGTGGCGAGATGTTTGTTTACCAGAAAAAGACAGACTGGGAGGGAATCCAGGCTGCTCTTTAGTTTCTCTCTTCAGCAAGTGGCAAGCTCCTTGTCCAAGGACTTCTTGAATGACGGCAGGCAAAGAACTGCAGAGCCACAGTGGCAGGGAGGGTGGTCTGGGGTTTTCAGTGCTGCTTCCCATCTGTTGGAAATTCCTTCCAGAGAAACCAGCCTGTGACTTTGTGTTTCCCTGCCTTAGCAACTCTTGAGTAGCACAGTACTCTTTCTGTTTTTGCCTCCAGCCTGGGTTTAACCCTGCTGATCTTCTACTATTGCTTTGCTATTGTTGGCATGGAGTTCTTTGCTGGCGTGGTCTACCCGAACTGCTGCAAGTGAGTACTGCAAATCCATCCCCTCCTGCAGCGGGTTTGGTGCACAGCCAGGAGCAGTGCCTCTGGCAGCTCTGTCTCCCTGTGGAGAAGGGGCCAGAGGATGGGTCTCAATGGGGTTTTGCAGCTAAGGCAACATGCTGGGAAAAGCTAGGGGGAGACACTTCACTTCTCTAGGTAAGATTGGATGAAATGGCTTTTGCATTGCATTTGGAAAGGGAGAGGCTTCTGTGGCGGGGTTGGCTGGTTTTAACAAGCTCTCTAACTCGCCTCAGGTAGCTGCACTGGGAGGACTTACTCGTGATACTGTGGCTGGAAACTCTTGTAACAGCTACTCTTGAGCAAAGTTGAGATTTTTATCTTGGTGACACCAGAGTTGCTCTGCTAGACTGTTACATATTTAGGCCTCACTTTGTACAAGATAAATTCACCTGGTCTTGGAAGCTAAGCAGTCCTGTGCCCTTTTCATCTTAAATGATGGCAGATCACTTGGAAATGCCAAGCTTTAAGGGTGTGAACCAAGGAGTCTAACTCAAACACTCAGTTTCTCTGGTATAATATTTGCTGAATGATTAGAAAGACTTCATGTAGTCCCTGGGCTTGTGCTGAGCTGTGAAGAACAGAGGCTTTCTTTTAGAGAAAAAGCAAGAGGTAGAAACTGCCACCCTGCTCACCACCTTCTAAGTGTTTTTGTATTTATAACCCTTGAGATTTTCCTTGCTTTTCCACTTCTCTTCTTATTCTTTGACCTGGTTTCCCCAACCAGCACAAGCACAGTCGCAGATTCCTACCGCTGGGTGAATCATACAGTTGGCAACAAGACGGTTGTGGAAGAAGGTTATTACTATCTCAACAACTTTGACAACATTTTGAACAGCTTTGGTAAGGGCAGTTTTGTCTGTAGCAAAGACTATTAGTGCATCTGTGTTCCTGCAGAGCTGGGTGGCAGGACTGTAATGCTCATGTAAGCCTGGGACTCTCCCAGAAAGTCCTACTAATGCACCTCAAACTCTCAGCATCCTGCTCTTTCTGTCTGGAGGACTCCAGCTGACTAATTGTCCCATGACTGTTTTGCAAAGTAAGCATACATCTCTTAAAAGCCAGTGTGAAGCCAGCAGATCTGTTCTGACTGGTGATCAGACCAGACTCCCAGAGATGTTTAAGTCACTACCCTTCTGAAGAATCAATGTGATGCTAGTACATTTCTTTAAACGCACTGATGAAGAATAATTTGAATGTGTTGATTACTCTCCATGATTTTTCTTAATGTGTGAGCGGAGATGCTTATCTCGTGGAGATTTCAGAGGTCTCCATGGTCTCTGGTGAAAAGTTAGGTCTGTTTCTGATTTTTTTTTAAGAAATACAGATTAAGCCGTACTCCTGGTTCTGTGGGTCTAACCCCCTTTGTCTGAAGTAATTGCAGTGATGAGGGTCTGCATTCTGTCTCCGGATTTGCTGGCTGTATTGAAACTTTGGTGTCTTGCATCAGTCTCCCCTGTCAAATACTTTGTCTAAGAATCACTGTAAAGTAGGTCAGGATGGATAAAGCAATTGTCTGTATTTTTTCTCCCACTTGTATACAGTCACGCTGTTTGAGCTGACAGTCGTCAATGACTGGTATATCATCATGGTAAGTAAACCTCAGCTACCTTGTGTGTATAGACAGCACAGACTCTTTGCCAGTTGAGCTAGATCTTCCACGCCACCACTGCTTTCTTCCCCTGGTGATGGGAGATGGGCCGAACATTGTCAGTTCTTGTTGCCAGACAGCTTTTGCTCCAGATCGTTGGGTGACATTTGACCTCTGGCATGCTGCTGGGCATGTTTTCTTGTGAATCTTGACCAGCCTTCAGGCCAGGTTTTGCAATCTGGACAAGTAAGGTCACTCTGTATTCCAGCTTGTCACCCTGCTGTCCAAGCTGTGTTCTCATAGCAGCAATGGTTCATACAGCCACGGGCTTTAAATGTTCTGTATGCTTGCATATAGGAACCTCTCCTTTTAGCTTGAGAGGCAGATTAGCTGCAAGGACCAGTTGGGGCATTGAGCATTGCACAGGCAGTCCCTGGGGCTAACTGTGGAGCCATGAATGAGAGATAGATAGTGTTTATGCTGCTTTATGTCTGTCGGCAAGCAGTTAACAGCAGACTCTCCCTTCTTTTGTGCACCACTGACTTCTTCCCTCTCTTCTTTAGGAAGGGGTGACATCCCAAACCACTCACTGGAGCCGTCTTTACTTCATGATCTTCTACATTGTGACCATGGTAGGTTTCTGGACATGCTTTGTGCATCAAATAGTGGGGATGAGGAGGGGAGACAGCTTTTACTGTGTTCCAGAGGGCGCTTCCATCCCTAAATGAGGACAACTTTGCTCTTCTATATAAATATCTTCCAGAAACAGGTGTGAGTCCACATCAGTTGCAGAAAGTTGAATTTAAGGGCATTGACAAAGCTGATTCTGCACAAATCTGGGCCTGGGGTAAGGACTAGGGCAGCACAGAGTTTTGTTCTGTCCCCATTGTAGTTGACTGTTAGCAGTTTACTCATAGGTAGATGTGTGAAACGTGCATCTCCTCTGTCATGGAGAAGCTGGGGAGCGTGGAGTTGAACCACAGACCAAATGCTTAGCTTCATGTTGAATTGGGCTGGAAGAATATCCCAGCAGCAGCCTCCTGACCTCTTCATGTCCTCTCCCAGGTGGTGATGACAATCATTGTGGCTTTTATTCTGGATGCTTTCGTCTTCCGCATGAACTACACTCGGAAGAACCAAGATTCAGAAGGTCAGAACTGAGGACTGGCCGACCTACAACATTGTGTCTTCTCTCCCTGGTGTCGTATGTCTGTAGGAGAGAATGGGATTGGCCAGCAAAGACCAGATTTTTGTTTTAGCCTGACTTCCTAAGCTCATTCTTACGCTTTTGTGTGATATTTCTATCCGGCCTTCCTGCTCTGCCCCTCATCTCTCCCCCACCACTCCCCCTAAAGTGTGTGTGTGTATGTGTGTGTTTATCTGTGTGTGTGTGTGTGCGCGCGCACATATGTAAACTTCAACTTCTTGAGCTATTTCAACCAAATTATTTAAAGATAGGAAGTCTGCACGCATTTCATGAAAGAAATCTAGGGAACATTACAGCAATGATGTAGCAAAACTCAACAAGAGACCTTACAGGAAGGGAAGGTGATTTTTCTTTTAAAACCAATTTCCCTCCCTCACTAATATACTCACCGGCACCAGAACATGTCTCCAAGCAGCTTGTCCAGCATTCAGGCACCAAGACGCTGGATCCAAGTGGTTTGCCAGCACTCTGTGCCATGACATGGAGGACAAGGGATGCTGCCCATCCAGTTCTTTCTGCATCTCCAAGTTGTACTTAGACTGGTGACTACGTGCTGGTTTTGGACATATCTTTCTATACCCTTTAGGAACTGACAGTGACTTGTCTCTCCATCCCCTCACCCCTGTGAGTCACCAGTTTTACTCACTGTCCTTTGTCTCCTGAGCTGGGCGTCTGAAACTGCATGTAACTTCATGACCTGCTAATTTAGGCGCCATAAACACATTCATCTCTTATAGCCCTTCTCCTGCTATTTCTTCAGGTGATCTACACCCAGACTTTTCTATTCATTCTCTGAGCAGACTAATCTTAATAATTCTTTACACTTTTCTGCAGGAAGGAGATATAGCCACTGCAAGTATACATTTCATGCCAGTCTTCCCCGCAGAAACATGGTGAAGGCCTGAGCCACAGGAGTAGCTTTGATCAGCCCCTCATCTTTCTTAGGTGCCAGAAGATCCAAATGTGTGGCGCACGCTCATAGGAGCCAGGCATTGTTAGTTACAGAAACACTTTTCATTGTGATCCTTCCTGTACCCAGTTTGAAGGGTGCAGTGAAAGACATTTGTTAGCACTTAACTCCCAAGCCGTGTTAGGCAGTTGAAGGTCAAAAGGCAGCAATTCCTGTGTGATTAGTTGCTTTGCTAGTTAATTTACAGGCAAGCAAAAAGCTACAAGACTTTTTTTAAGATACTGAGGAGTCTGATATTTTAAAAAGCTGAGATGCTTGCTGGCCCTACACACTAGTTAAGTTCTTCCCTGCCTTGCTGGGGGACCAGGACTTACATGTTCTAGCCACAAAAGTAGGTACAGAGTGTGCCTGACATCTGGCTTGGTCCGGTGTGCTGTTAAGCTTTGCCTTCCAGGATTATCGTAGCGGCTGATGAAGCAATGTCCATCTCGGTGACTTTTTTTTCTCTTTCTTTTTCTTGCCTCTCCAGAAGACAACGGCATTGTGCTGGAGAAGGAGATCTCCAAGGAGGAAGTGGTTGGCATAATCGAGCTGTACAAGCGGAGTTCATCTGCCACTGAAACCGCTCAGCTGCAGAAGATCGTTTTGCAGATGGACAAATACGGGGTAAGAGGAAATGCTTACTGCAAGTTCTCGGCTTTAGGGGAGGGAGGCGTACCAGGGCCACAAATATCTTTTTGCTGTCTTCTAGAGAAAAGCTGCATGTGTCTTTGTAGTGTTGAGAGCTGAGCTACTGGAGGAACTCTGCAGTATTGGCACAAAGTTTTGCTGCTCTAGAAAAGTAGCAGCTGAATTTCCCCTGCACTCTGAATAGCCTTGACAAAGGCTCGTTGCTATTGCTTGCCTCTAACTTCACTTAGAGCTGTCCTGGCCCAGTACTGTCTGGAAAAAAGTATATTTATTTTCCTCTAAGGAAGCCACTGTCTTGTAATTCTCCTGCCTCTCTCTCTGTGCCATTGTACGCTTAGGCCCGGACAGTCCTGAAACATTATGCAGCAATATGATGGTATCGATTCCAAACACCAGGCTTCCTTTCTCCATGGCACTGCTTACATTTTCATTCCAAAACAGGATGGACAATTGGAAAAATGAGCTGACCTGGGTAACTGCTCTTGTCTCAGAACTGTTGTCTCATGCATCTGGGAAAAGCTTAAGTGGTTGTTCTAATAATAGCCATTATATTCTTGTATCACCACTACAAAGTGCAGGTGCTACAGTCTCTTAGGTGACCCTTATTTGCTTTGGTTGGCTTGGTAGTAAAGGCTGAGCTCTTGTTCACACAGACAAAATTTGGAATAGCGATGCTGATTCTGATCAGAAGCAGTTTTCAAGACAATAAACCAAAGGAGGATGCTGTCCTTAGCCTTGCAATGGAGTCCAGAATGATGATGCCAGACTTGAGGTTTCTTTTGTTTGTCAATCCTGTTCATATAACTCGTGGTCAGAGAGTAATTCAGACATCAGCTCTCTGCTTACATGATTTAAGAAGTCCAGGCCCATGGAGTAAATGGTGTGGTCTAGACAAGTGGGACCTGCAGTTGTTCTTAGACGAGATCTTATTTGGAAGCTTGGGTTTGAGCCTTGTTCCCGGCACTGATGTTATGTTCATCTGACTAAATTAAGCACCCCTGACAGACACATCCACCCGAACTACAGCTCCCTTTGTAGTCTTTGGGGATCTGCTCAGTGTGATTCGTCTCAGCCTGCAGTAGATGCCTGCATTTGTTCAGGTGATGTGCACCCTAAAATGCCTTTTTCCTGTGGCAATAGAAGGAGCTCAGGATAGCCCGAGCTCATCAGTGGATGATGGGTGTCCGCAGGAAGGATGCCTGAAGTTCCAGGGACTGATCCTGTGGGCTGCTCAGTGACCGATGAATATCTTCTTTGTTTTTTCTTCCTGCTTCCTCCAACTCTTTAGCAAATGTCAACACTGTTTCTGGGACGCAGATCAAGGACCAAGAGTGATTTGAGTATGAAGATGTATGAGGAGGAGATACAGGTATGTGGGCCTGAGTTGGAAATATCAGCAAGTCTCTGTGGTGATCAGAACATTGCCTAGAATAACAAACCATCCTTTTAAGCACTGGAGGCCTTCCTCCTCCAAGACCCAGGCAGCCATGTGCTCTGTGAGAAGGGTGGGCAGTAGATGAAGTGTACTTTAGATTGATCCTTTCTTGCACTCAGGGACTTTCTTAACCCACAGAGCGCGTCAGAGCCTCCTCAGGGGGTCCAGGTGCCCGGCTGTGCAGGTGTGCGTCAGCCGAGTCACAGAAACCAGGCGTAGGCACTCCGGCTTGGCTGAGCTTACCCAGACTCACCGAGGTGGATGTGTTTGCTGGGGCTATGAGCACATGCGTAGTGCGTTCCTGGGGCTTGGCTGCTGAACGCTAATTTGTTAAGCCACTGGAATGTGATTGTGTTTGAGCTTGGGCGTGTCTGTCTGACACAGAAACGGAGAGTTCTCCCAGGCAGAGTGCTGCTTGGTGCGAGCAATGCTTGCCTGGTTTTCCTTCAGAATAGCCAGCTAACAAAGATGGGAAACACTTAAATCAACTGATTTTCTGGATTGTTTAGGGCATTTCTGCTAGTGCCCTTCGTGGTCAGGAGCTTTATGCCATGGATTTGGTCACTGTAGTGCCTGCCAGACATTCACCTCCAGGTTGAAGGTCATGGGCTAATGTAATGATTAGTACTGAAAGAATTAATCTTGTAACCATCTGAATCTGTCCTTTGTCCCTTGGGCAGCTAGCTTGGGGATGAGTCTTCAGTCCCCCTAACAAAAATAAACATGTTATTTGCCATGGAGCTGCATGGAAATCTGCAGAGAAGCTCCCGGCCTGTCCTGCTTGGTCTCTGATTCAGGGATGTAACATTTTCTAGCACCCTGGGCGCTGCCTGGGATTGGGAGCACCTTTGCATATCCCAAAATCACGGGGATACCAATACTAAAGTCCTAGACGTTCAGGAGGGACATCCTGAGAGAGGGATGTTTCCTTGCCCAGGTTTGTCAGTTCAGCCGGCTGTAGCTGAGCCATGGCTGGTACTTCTTGCTTGGACTGTGGGTGGCAAGGTCTCGGCGTCCGTCACAGCCATGCTGCAGTTAACCAGGTTGTTCCAGGAGGTTAGGCTATAGCCAGGGCTTTGGGAAGAGCCCCTCTGTGCCTGAGCAAATGTGCCTTCACATGGCAGAGCAGCCAAAGGCTCCGCCCTTCAGGGTCCTGCTGGAGGACTGCGAGGCCAGTGTGGGGCAAGAGCCTGATCTTGGTGTGTTTGGTTTCCTGTTGCAGGAATGGTATGAAGAGCATTCCAGAAAAGAGGAATCTCCGACACCATTGCAAGAGCCTGCATCTGCTTCCAACAGCTCTCTGAAGCCCCTGAGCCGCCGACAACGCTCCCAGACTGTCATTTAGGCCTAGCTAACGCAAGCCGCCTTCTATGCAATAACCTAGAGTATTACTTCACAGCGTATATGTTGGGATGGTGTATATAGATCTGTTCAGTGTACTGTTTGGCTTTAGGGTTTAAGTCTCTTCCCCTAGGCAGTGAATTGCTGAAAAACCAGAGGCCCAGGGGACTCTGTGTGAGGCTGCTACACACAGATTGAGCATGATGCCCATGCTCAGCACAGAGTGAACACCTTGGACAGAACAGAGACCTTCTCCCTCGGAGCCGCTTCCCAGGCTCAAGCCTGCTGTTTGTCTTACCACTAACAGACCTTGGGGAAAGGGATGTGTAATCCATTAACGGCAGGAAATGCGCTGAAGCCACCTGCTTAATAGTAAAACTTTTGCCCTTTTGCTTAAAGGGTACCATTAACCTGGGAATAAAAGATCAGGGAGTGATTTTTTGTTTCTTCTCCACCTTCCTTATGCAAAGAAAAGGGAGGTGATGTGAAATTTCAGCACTTTTGGAAGAGCAGTCTGCCTTTCCCCTTTTTGGCACACCTAGATGCACTCCCCGTAGTAAATCCAGCTCTGATCACTGCATTTAGCTGTCCCTGAGCAGTTCTGTGGCAGCTGGAGACAGAACTGAGGGCCAGCATCTCATCGTGTTATGACCGTAGGTGGGACAGGAGTCTGGGGAGACGAACTGTGTCTCTGCTGTAGCTATCCAGCATCGCTGCTGGTCAGTGCTGCCTGTGGCACTGCCCGGGAGTGGGATCACCTCTGTGAACCCCAAAGCTCCTGTCTCTGTTCAGTGAGAGGGGGGATTCGCAGGGTGATGGTGGCTGTTGACCCCTGTCACTTGGCCACCTGCTCTGTAAATGGCAAATCTCTGGCTGGTCCTTAGCTCAGTCAGATGACTCGGAGGAAGAAATGGGAGGTTTTGCAGCTCCAAGTCTGACTTATTTCTGCCTGGCTCTGGGTTAAGGAGAGCTTATGGGCATCAAACAGTACTGCTGGTTAGTCCTCAGCCAGGTCATTGCTGTGTTTATACAGGTGAGTGAGTCCCAGCGCAGCAGCGCTGCTCCTCCCTTGCTCTCACCCTTGCAGAAATGTTCTGGCTGGCAAATGCTGACTGAGTTGTATCTTAGGAAGATCCACTGAAGAGCTTTACCGTTCCCCTGAATTTTGGATGCAGGAGGAACGTGGAGGACGACAATTCTTCTCACCCATCTGCTTTTCTGCAGCTGGCAAGGAGGCTGCGAGACCTGGTAGATGAGGGATGGGAGGAAAGGGAGGAAGAGGGATCCCTTCCCAGCTCTGCCACGTTTATTCTGTCATCATGGCAGGTTACATCATCGCTCATGTTTCATTGCCCACAACGTGATGAGAACCTGTCTAAGTCCCCTTTTTTTCCCTGTCAGCACAGAAAGTGCTGAGGGCTAGAAGTATCTGTCAGCTGGGAGGCTCCCCTCGCCTCTTGCTGTTTGATCTTTTCTCAGGTTCAGACTAACAGCAGAGCTTGCTGGGGAGGCTTTCTCCTTCCTCCAGATAGATCAGGCAGTGGGAGATCTGTGTGCCCGTTTCCTTTGTCCCACATACCTGTTTTTTCCTTGGTAGCCTCACCACGTGGCCCAAGGACAGCAGGAGAAGACTGATCCTACCTGGGCAGCTCAGCAGCATTTCCTGGGTGGATGAGACTTTCAAAAGTAGGCAAGACAGAGCTGCTTCTGAAAATCTCTCCCTGCACATAGCATGGTGGGAGCATTTGGGCTATGGGATGGAAAGAGCGGGTGAGCTGCTTTCTGGGCAGCACGCACACCAGCGTCTGCTCTCAACCCTTGCCAAATTCCCTGGGTGCCTCAGGGCAACTCTTTGTTTCCTTTCTGGGTACTGCAGGTATGAAACTACTTCTGAGCTGAACCGTGAAGGACCTTAAAGGACTGTTTTCCAAACCATAAATTCGACCACAAATTAATGAGCAGTGCAGTTGTTGCTCTTGCAGTTGCTCTGCATGGAGTCGCAGCCTGGGAGATTTATCCAGATTAGTCCTGGGTCTGCAGGAGATGTTGTTTATTCTGTTTTAAGTTGTGGGCAGGATGAATGAGCATTGTGAAGGTTAGGGGAAAAAAAGATGTGGCTGTGTTTAAACTCCACATTCCCCTACAGCCTATTTCTCCCTGCAGGGCTGTCAGTGACTTTTTTTTTGGGTGTTTTCTGGGTGTGAAAGGAGGCACAGCTTTAAGCTATAGGGAGGGGGGCACTAACCTGCTTAACACGCAATAACAAGGCTCTCGTGTCACAGAGCGGGAATGCTTGGACTGGGGTTCGGGGCTCAGGTGCTGCTTCCGTGGTTTTGTGCTGAGGTGTTGATCTGCCCCCGTGGACACACTGTATTAATTATTTTTGCAAACCAAGGAGGGTTGCAGAAGTTTACTTCTTCCATACGACTTTGGAAGGAAACAAAGTTTGAGTACGGGGCATCCCCTTCTATTTATCCTCCTCTCCCCCACCTGACACACAGACTAACGACAGAGACAATCATTTTGTAGGGAGCAAGGGAGGAAGCACTGTGGGATTTTGTATGCTGGCGTTTTGTTTATAAAATGATTTTATGGACATGTCTGTAAAATATTCTCTAGATTTTTTTCAAGCACACTAATAAAAAGCATCCTCAGCTTTCTAAAGGCAGTGGCTTTCTTTCCTCCTTCCTGTGTTATTCCAGAAGCAGGGCTTGGCCGCAGCTGAAGCATTTCCACAGTGTTTGAAGAGGAGCGGTGCCCGCCTCCCTCTCCGGTGGCAACTGCTTGCGTGGGCATATTTTGCATGCATGCCGGGCCGAGCTGCTCTGAACCCTGGGTCCTGGACATTGCAAAGCCCAGCTTCCCTCTGCCTCCCCCTGCCAGTTTTTTTCCTAAATGGTAAAATAGTGCTTTCAAATGTATGTTTTTTTAAAGCTACCCCAATGCAATGTTTAAGGTTAGAAGGGCTTTTTTGACCCTGTACCTCTGTATTGGTATGTTGGCTGCGGTTTCGATTGCTTTAGCCCTGCTGCGTGTAAGGAAGTGGGGCTTGTCTCCCTGGATAATTCTGGCAGCTGCTGGTAACTTGTGAGCACGTTCAGGGCAGAGCCAATAGCTGCAGGCACAGGGAGCATTATTTTTTGTGAAAGCCCGTATCTGGTTAGAAAAAGGAGAAATTACCCAGGTCCAGGAGGCCGCTGGCACCCCTAGAAGGGAGCAGGAACCTGGTTGCGTGTAAGGAAGTGGGGCTTGTCTCCCTGGATAATTCTGGCAGCTGCTGGTAACTTGTGAGCACGTTCAGGGCAGAGCCAATAGCTGCAGGCACAGGGAGCATTATTTTTTGTGAAAGCCCGTATCTGGTTAGAAAAAGGAGAAATTACCCAGGTCCAGGAGGCCGCTGGCACCCCTAGAAGGGAGCAGGAACCTGGTCCGGCGGTTGTGCTTCTTGCAAAACAGCC